TGTGTTTCGTTGTGAAAGCGAAACTACTTTGTTTGGCCTTCCAAGAGGACGATATCCGCTTCGTCATGCCTGGAGCTGATCCGTGCTGGTCGCTGAGGAAATACATCAACTTTGTGCTGTGGATCGCCGGATCGGCTTTCACCGTGGACGAAGCGGAGTCCAGCCCGGGGTCGTCACATGTGGTTGCCGCAAGCCCGCCGGACGCTCCTTCATCGAATCCGCCGGCCGCGCCGTTCTCAATCCCGCCACGCCTCCCCTCACTCAAGTCCGCCCGCCTCCGCTCACTCTAGGCCGCCGGCAGTCGCTCACTCTAGGCCTCCGCTCACTTTAGCCCATTGTGTGTTTCGTTGTGAAAGCGAAACTACTTTGTTTGGCATTCCAAAAGAGGACACGACTAGAAATCAGTGGCTAAGTTGTATTTACAACACTGTTCCAGAACAGTTTGTAGCGTCTGGACCACTCAAACACACAATATATATTTTGTTAGCTAGATTTAACAAATACTCTGTAACACCCCAGGGAGCCGAATAGGCCCCTGGTTCCATGGCAACCCTGACACCTGATACATTTACGACCTCCTGGATTTTAGGTGAAGAAAATCGCTTCCTTGCCCATAAGGAAAATCCACAAGGGAAGGACTTTTCTTTGCTAATTAATTAATAGGAAAACCTTTCTTTGAATGAACACACATGATCCTTCAGGTCATTGGGTATATTATTGTCATCGTGTATTTTGTCTTTGAAATTGTATACTGTTATGCAGGCTTATAATCGAAACACACTCCTGTCAGCTTACATATATATAACTCTACCATGTTTAGTATCTATGAATTCGTATTCGGATGATCTAATTGAGAGTGTATATTGTATGTTTACACCTACGCAACATATTAGTGTTCTAAGAGTCTTTAGTAATTTTTATCCAAGTTTCATATGCAAATTACCATGCTTCAAACAAAGGGCCATAAAAACGCCCCAGTACTCAGAACTCCCACTTGAGATTCCGGACTTCCTCATTGGACAAGCCCATCTTGAGAGGCGTGAATCTTTGCAGGCTTTAAAGGCCGCACTTCATGTGACCCGCCCAGTCGGTGGTTTGTTGAATTTCTGAGAAGACGCTCCAACGCTCCAGAACATCATAAGCTCGTGCCAGGCTTCGGCCTTGTCCTTTCCATTCATCAAGATCCTCTGACATCCTGGTAGAGTAGACTACAATGCCGGCTGTTCTGACTCACAGACTCTAGGTAAGCTTTTTATATTTAAAGAATTTGCACCAATTCAAATGCAAGTTTTGAGCAGTGTAGAGTAGCACTTGTTGTTTGTCATTTCTCCGATCACAAATGCAGACATGGTTTTATGTTTACGTGGCGCAATGCAATGCGTAAAAAGACAGTATAAGTCATTATAATCCATAATTATGTCCCCATTGGATGCAACAAATGCCTAGTTTATAATGGGTTTTAATGTTTTTGTCTCATCGCTCCGGCCGGACAAGGCATCACAATATGGTATAATAATGTGTATTTTTAACTTTAAACCGCTTAAACACATTTCATTACACCAAATACACAAAATAATGTTCTTTTTAGCAACATCATATGACCCCTTTAATCTATACACTGCTGTACACAGTTTGAGCAAGGTGGGAGATGTCCTTACAGACACACACACACCCACGCAAAAAGACGTTGAGATATTAATCCGGACTTGAGAGATGCAATCCTAAATGCCCTCTAGAATGTATATTAAATTAATTAATTATATAAATATGTATATTATATTCCTATTACTTGTTTCGCTTCCGTTTCAGTTTTTATAACATTTCTTACTATGTGTAAGTAAGTTGTTGTTTTTAGCATGGGTGTTTGGCAGTGTTATTTTTTAGGATTACTGATAAACTACTGTCATTTGATTTATATTATTTGTATTTGTTATTTATTTTAATTTTAGTTACATTATGTCTGAATTTATTATGTCTATATAGGTATTTTATTAAGTTTGTAGTTTTATTTAATTTGAGTTATTTTAATACTTCAACAAACTAAATGGAAATTAAATAATATATATATTGAATTTATAAATGT